CATCCAAAAACAGTTGAAACCGCTATTTCGCACTGTATCTAGATTACCCATTCCCCTTCGAAATTTTGGTGTGTACTTCGATGAAAAACCAGAGATTACTACGGGATATTTTTATTCATTTGGGATAAAATATCGCATAAAAATAACAGATATTTTTCACGCGTTGCGTTCAACGAAACGCATCAATACACAATAGGGATTCTGCTCACACAGAGTCGCCGTTTTTTCGTTATACTCTTCACACTTACGATGAGCTGCGCGGAGCGTGCATGCACATGTTTCGCTCACATTTTTCTTTGAACACTCTTCGTGTGTCAACACAATGTCTGTGTGTGTATCGTTTGTGCCGTCGTTTGTAAACGACGTCAATGAGCTGGGTACGAAGAGTGTCGATCGAAAGAAAAGAGTGGAACATATAAATGCATGCATCGCGTAGCTCATTGACGTAGTTTACAAACCACGGCACAAGCGATACACACAAAGACATTATGTTGACACACGAAGAGTGTTCAAAGAAAAATGTGAGCGAAACATGTGCATGCACGCTCCGCGCAGCTCATCGTAAGAGTGAAGAGTATAACGAAAAAACAGCAATTCTGTGTGTGCAGAATCGCTATTGTTTATTTATGCGTTTCGTTGAACGCAACGCTTGAAAAATATCTGTTATTTTTATGCGATATTTTTATCCCATATGAATAAAAATATCCCATAGTAATCCCCCATCTCTGTGAAAAACACTACTTTCATGTAGTGCGCAAAAAAGTAGTTGGTTGTGAAAAAACAAAATAGAATAAGTAACTAAAATCTCAAGAACGCAGAGTGGAGCAAAGCTCCACTCTGCGGTCTTGTTTATTTTTTGTGGTTGACACATCAAAAAAAGCTTGATTCCTAGAAATCGCGCATCGGAAAATGTGGTAATATTTCTAGCATCAGAATGGCGTAAATTGTATGAAAATTTTAATTGCAGGCGATTCGACATATTGAGTGCAAAATTGTTAGAACATTGCAGGGTGAACATCTTTAATATAGCAAGTGTTTTACCACGCAAAAATTTAAATGAAAATATACTTGTTTGATCTCATCTGAATAGTAGAATGTCGTTGAAAATTAAAATTAAATGGAAATAAGGCGATTTTTTCTGCACTGTTCGTAAATTACAATTGATAGACCAGTAATTTCAGTCTATATAATCGGTGATTCAAATTCAAATTGCATCGCGTGCAATAAAATCTGGGTTACTTCTATTGCATAGTATTTTTCTCGACATTTTGACATTAAAATTTCCAAGATTTTTGTATAACTATCAGTCAAATATTGATAAATGAATGTGAATTAACATGTTCATTCTTTGTTTTCTTCATTTATTTTTGACAGACCGGGGAAACGTTAAAAGTACCCGACTCTTGTAGACGGTCGTCTTCAACTATGGATACTCTTCAGGTCGATGATGGCTTCCATTCAGACGGTGGCTCAGTCTCACCGCCACCGAGTCCCAGCTCATCGAGCTCACCATCGATTCTATCGACGACCTCTGATCATGGTTCACTGGAGAGTGTAATCGATTCTAGCACACATCGTTTGCAGATGTAAGTATTTTAGATAATCTCTTGATTCACCCAATTATTTACAATTTTCAGTTTGAAAATATGTCTGATTTCCAAGAATTCTGAAGGAAACGTATGTCATTTTCTAACTAACATTCCCCTCTGTGCCCCCATCTCATAGTGAGTCTGCAACGTCGTGTAACTTTTTGACGACATCACGACGCCTGGCAGTGCTATCGTTTGAACAATGTCGCAAACTGAACGACGTTATGAACGATGTTGTTGCCATACACGGTCGTGGTAATTTTCCAACATTGGAAGTTAAGCTAAAAGACTTGGTAACAATGGTACGAAAAAAATTGGAATTAGATGTTTCGTCAGGCGGTGGTGGTGTCCAAGTAAAAGACATCCGATTGAACGGAGGCGCTGCTAGTCATGTTTTAGCTTCTGAACCGCAACCATACAATGATTTAGATCTCATATTTGGTATTGAATTCAGTTCAGGTCGTCATTATGATCGCGTTAAAATGGCCGTACTAAACACATTGATGGATTTGTTACCCGAGGGTGTGTCGCGTCGTCGCATCACACACACTACGCAACTGAAAGAGGCCTATGTTGGTAAAATGGTCAAAGTGAACAATAACAATGATGGCGATCGTTGGAGTTTGATATCACTAGGCAATTCGCCGGGCCATAAAAATGTTGAGCTGAAATTTGTCGATACAATGCGACGTCAATTCGAGTTTAGCGTTGATTCATTTCAAATTATGTTGGATTCATTGTTACTATTTTATGACTGTGCCGCGCTACCGATATCGGAGAATTTTTACCCGACCGTTGTTGGTGAATCCGTCTACGGTGATTTCCAAGAAGCGTTATATCATTTGCAAAAAAAATTGATCTCAACGCGGCAGCCAGAAGAGATTCGCGGTGGTGGACTACTTAAATACTGCAATTTGCTTGTGAGAAATTATCGACCAGTCGACTATAATCAGATCAAAACGTTGGAACGGTAAGTATACACGGTTCAGCTCCGCGTTCGATTTACGGATTTACCGATACATTCAATTTCTGATTTACCAAAAGAAAATGGAAAATGACTGTGTGTGACAATCAACTGAAGCAAATGAATTCGTTTTAATCCATCAGGTACATGTGTTCACGATTTTTCATCGATTTTCCGGATATTGCAACGCAGACGATAAAATTGGAATCGTATTTGCGCAATCATTTCTGGGGCGTTGACGAGGAGCCATTGCAGTATCAATACTTGATGCATTTACGCGACGTGGTCGAAACATCAACTGTCTGTTTAATGGGCCACGAGCGCCGTCAAACACTTTCGCTCATCGAAACATTGGCCATGGAAATCTACTATCGCGAGCAACAAAAGACACAACAACAAATTCAACAGCAAATCCAAACGCAGCCAATGTTCTTCGTACACAGTAAGTATATTTGTGAAATTCGATTTCGGATTTCCACTATTATTTAAGGGACATAAAGTAATCGCATCATATTGCGCACAAATTTCCTGTTAATTTAAATCCATCGCCCAATAATCCATCGCCCCCTTTGCCAATAATAAATTGTAAACTCGGTTCTTTTTTTCTTTTTTTGTTTATTTCGTTTCGCGCAAATCTATTTGCATCGCAGCAACAACAACACCGCGGGCGACAAATGCTCCGACGCAATTGACGACGTCTCGATCGAAGCCCGACGAGTATGACAAAACGTGGCAAGTGTCACAACAACAGTCACAACCACCGCAAATCATTCATGCCACCCAATCGCAACAACTGCAGCCAATTACTGGTGTCAGTGTCGCACAAGACCAGAACGCCAATACATTGCGACTGATTTTTGCGAACGGTATATACTACGCGCCTGTGATTCCTACCACGTACTGCACGTGCAATTCACAATGGACAACGTGAATCAACAGCAACAAAAACAACTTTCAGTTCGTCAAACAAGATTCGATATCTTCGTAAATATATGGGACTTATATTCAACAAAATTATTTACACTGGCTTCCTCAACTCATGACACATTTGACCGATTTGATTTGAGTGCGGCGAATGACGTCCACACATTCACACACACACACACACACACACATACAGTCACACACTCTATCTATATCGAAAAAATAAAGAGTAAGTTGAGTCCTATTGTTTACTAAGATATTCCTCAATATTCATACAATATCCGATTCTATTACATCACTTGCATTCAAGATGTTGTTGAAAATTAACGAACTTGAGTTTCTAAACACTTAAAAATATGATGGAATGCAATTTAAATGTATAAATATGTGAACAATCGAAAAGGAAATATATAAAAATGCGAGATGGATACAATTAGTGTAAAAACGTGGACAAAAAAAAAACAATCAGAACTTTCCGGTTATAAAAACAAATACAAATATATGTACATCTCAGAAAAGTGCAAAAAAATTTATGCTATATTCTGGCGTTAAAATAATAATAATAACGAAACAAAAAAAACAAGCCAAAATACTTTCACACCTTCAAACCAAGTACAGCTATAATCATTTGTAAAGCTTAGTTTGATTGCGAAAGGTAAATGTTGTACGTAAATCGATAAGAGTGAGATCGAGAAGAGCAAGAAAAATTAGAAGAAAGAGTGAAAATGACGAGGCAATAAACAATAATTAAACAATGAAGAAAAAATGCTGTGAAGAATTTCATAACACTCAGGATCAGGTTGGAATCGTTTTTCATACTGACACTTGATGTGCATAAAATGAGCATTGAAATTAATGAGCTGTATTTCCATGCTTCGATTTCAATTCGTCAGATAAAAAACGAAGCATTTTCAAGTTTTGTGGGTAAATTAAGCAGAACGGAAATAGGCAAACGAGAAAAAAATGAAGCATGAAAGCAAAACAGAAATTATTTGAAGAATACTGATAGTAATAAGACACTGAATGTCATAAGCCAGCGAATGATTGCTGGTACATGATAAAAGCAGGAAAGAAAAACAAATCCACAAATTCGAAACGCCACAATTCCATTTGGAAACTATGGGCGAATTGTCGTGGATCTGCCAAAACAGACACATTAGTGTTTGTGTGTTTTTGTTTATTCGAAAACAGTAATTGAGCAAATATTTAAATATAAAAACATATATTTCTATTTGAATTTTTTTCGTGTCGATTTTAAATCTATTTATGTTTTAATGCCGAGATCGACTGATCTTATGGTCGACGATCTAAATTCATTTCATTTAATTTAGTCTTTTATTTCACCGATAATCAAATCGACATTACTTAGCAACAATCAACCAAACTAAACGTATTCAATCAAGCTGAAAGTAGCGCGAAAGCGAACAGAAAATTGCAACAGCAGCGACAGAAAAAGAGATCCATGGCACACCACTATTTCTACTACTCATTTATTTTCTCTGTTCTGTTTAAAAAAACGAAACAAATAAATACAAGTATCGGACTAAAATGCGAAATTCCAATAAGTGAGATACGACAACAGCATTTGCTGAATGGAATTTTTCCAATTAAGATTCTAACTTGAAACATCAGACTTATCATTTGCACAATATGTCCGGCTTTTAGTTTTAGTTAACGAATCTATTAAAAGACAAGAAGAGAGGTGTCAAATTGCCATGCTGCCGATTTAATTTCTTCTTTTTTTTTAATCCATTTCCTAGTGTTAGTGTAAAATGTTCTTTTTTTTAATTTAAATAATTATAGTTCGAAAGAAAAACAAACATGTGTTTTCCGATGGCTGAGCATCTCAGCATTTCGTAAGCTACGGATATATCCAAACATATCGACGACGCATACTGTATAATACAGTGGCGTGTGTTGCTACGTGCAGCCGCAACGACTCGACCG